AAGATACAATCTGCTTTTAAGGGATACTAAGATAATCAAACTTTCGTGGGCGGTAGTCCGTTACGAACGTGCAAAAATAAACTAATTCGCGTTTTGTGCAGCCAGTTTGCTGCTTAAAAAGAGAAGTGGACGTTTTCTCGGGGGATCAGGTGAGAAAAGGACCCTCTTTGTTTGTTTATTGGTTATTCAGACTGCGTGGCGTGGGCCTACCGGCTTCTCTGTCGAAGTAAAAAGGGATGCGGACTTGGGCAGTCAAGTTGCAAAGAGCAGCCTAAAGTTCAAGCACCCCTTATTGTGAACTCAGCTGGGAGTCGGTGCTTGCCCAAAAGAAAACGGGAGCACCTCCCGGCATGGCTGAGAAAAGGTGAAATCAAGAGCATCATCGGCACAAGTCTCGCCCGCATAGTTGATTCCGGACATCCTGTGGACCCCAACGAAGCCTTCAAGGTAATTTATAAGGTCCCACCAAATTATCCAAAGTCCCTGGGTCAGCACCCGCTAGCAACAGCAGAAGCGACCGCTATCAGGCTGAGGAAGCCGGCGTTGTGTGCGCAAAAGAAGCTCCTACAAACCTCACAGCCACTTAGCTGCATGTACTCGACCGCGCTCTCTGGGTCTGACCCCTCTCGTAGGCTGGCTCCACCAAATCCTCCTCGCGTAACCATCCTTCTCTTATCGACCCCTTTCCCGATTCCCATGACTCGCTTGCAAGAAAAGACGAACCTCATTGACCGCTTGTTTAACTTGTACCCCGTTCCCATATAAATGTATTGTTCAGATGAGAATTGATCGAAAGTGTTTATATGCTCGTCAACTACTCTTCTGAATTCAGCTGAGAGTGCCGAGCCTAAGGAGGGAAGGAAGGAAGGAAGTATACACCCAGTGCATGTGGTACCCTTATCTGGCAACAAACTTGTAAATGCAACCGCAGTACAGAGTATCTAGGAAACTGGTTGGGTTTTGAGTAAAAACGTAAGGTTTGGGGTGTTTTCTTTTCTTTTTTTTTTTTATAAAATCTATACATTTTAGGTGGGAGGGGGAAGGAAAGACTAGCAAGACACCCGTCAAACGAGACAAAAATCATTTCTTCCGCACCAGGCTGCCGACCGCGGGAATGCATATTTTTGAAGCATCTGACGCAACGCGATGAAGGGTGGTGGGCTCTGCAACTGTGGATGGCGGTTGGGCGTCTACTGGCGGCGCCGTGTCCCATTTGCTGCGTTTTCTGGGTTCTGGAACAAACACAAGACAAAAAGAAAAAGAACAGGATTTTCTACTGCGTCATGAACACAGAAGTCTTCGTGAAAGGAGTATTCTAAAACGTCTGCTTTTAAAAAAGACAGAATTACAGATTGGGTTAAGAATAAACACAACACTCGATAAAAAAAAGTTGAATCTGGTTGCACTCTGACTGAAAACATGAATTCGAATGAAAAGCACGTTCCCTTACGCTAGAAAACGTCGTGATAGGTACTCAGTTGCCGCCCTAATCTGGCGATTTATAGATGCCTGCATTCTCCCCTGATTTTTTACTGTTCTCCAGTTATTTTTCCAACCCTACGTAAAAAAGATCTGGTTAATTTATAAACGTATCCTCCGAATGCTCTCTATAGCTGCCGGCGTTTCTTATGCTTTTAGCTGATATTACAGTAGAGCGACACTTTAAAACGGTCAAGCAATTTGCTGACCGCAATCTTAGTGAAGTCGCTCATACTCTTTACTCTGAACTAATGGCTGTGAAGTCTTCTGGTAATATACGCGGAAGGCTCCGCCATATGTCTTGCCGTACATCGACATACCAGCACTCTAAACTCGCATTCCTAGCATGCTACCTCACGTATGAAGAAACGGAAACTCAGAACTTTAAATCAGACCGGTCTCTCTTCCTTTCTCGAGTTACAGCAAGAAAATGCCTAACAGAGCATTAACTACATAGCTAACATTAAACTTTAGTACGATGAGAAAAGAAGAGGCAGAACAGCCTATGAGAGATGTTATGAAATAAGAATAAGAGGGGGGGTGGAATTACTGGTTTCGGCTTATTTGGGGCATTTACTCATCCAGGACCCGGGGTCAGGAGAGTTGGAAGCACACCTCGTACACCTGTTGCCACTCCAAAATTACTGGCCACTGTACATCCAGTTATCGCTAACAGTTCCTTTCGACAATAGCGAGCATGTGTGTCATTGCTAGTTGTGCAATAACCAGGAGAAACGCGTAAAGGCAAAAAGAGAAGGTACCACATAACCAAATTCACCTGCTCATTTTACACAGCTAAAATCACAATTGATTGAGCCATGAGACAGGCTTTGACGAAGAGCCGCCTAATGAATTTTTTCAAGTAAAAAACACCCTCAAATATAGTCATGAAGTGGATATCATAAGCAAATTGTTTCTGACGAGATAAGCGAACCGCCTAGCTAGCAGGAACAACGACAGTCAATGCTTATGTCGCTTGTTAACAAATTAAAAGATAGTTGTACTCACGCTAGAGGTAATGAGGCAATAGAAGAAGCCCTGTCTTACCGGCAAACCCGCTGGCAACGGAACTGTCAATGATACCATCCGTCGAATTTACCAAGGGCAAAGATCCAGACAGATTGGGACCGCTGGCGGCACGCGGTAACGGCTGAGAAGAAAGCGCGGAGGCAGCTGTGGTAGCTGGGAGTCCGGCAGCATCATTCTTCCTCTGCTCTTTGCGTAGTTTTTCTAGACGTTCCACCTCCCTATTCTGTATTTTTGCTAGCTCGTCGTAGAAAGAGAGAGAATTCCATCTATAGGGGTTGTAGATTTCCTGTAGGGGGATGACATATAAGCTGCTTCTAGAAGGAATTACTTGGAATGGACAGCAAGTAAAGAAACTACAACTGCTGGATAGCTGCTTACAGATCCACCACATAAGTTTAGGCAGGTTCTGCCCATCATTGCAAATGTTCTTCTTCATCTGCTATGCAATTAAAGTACGTTTCCGAAACAAAAAAGGGTATCCGTGTACAACCGGACTATCAGGTAAAAATCTAAAAGGGCCCCTTCGAATTTAGTTGTTTTCTCCTTATCCTACAGTTAATGGCGAGGATTACAGACATGCACCTGGCTAATGTATGCAGTTGTATGACATCAAAGTTGATTATGGGCAACAAAATCTCAGAATTTGGAGTTGAACCCGATATATCTGGTTCCAATAATCTAGCGCTAAATTGAAAATGGACGAAATGCTGCGACAAGCGAAATCCTGAGCAGCACTTTTATACGATAAGGAAAAATAGCACATTCCTCTGAGGGAGTCCAAGTGACCGACTGTTTCAGTTCCTCTAAGCTACCGCCATGGGGTACTTTACAACTTGTCTTCTAGGGATCTGGTGTCCGGGTCACAGAAGTCGCGGTGATGAATACTAGGGACCAAACTGGACTGCAGGCTAAGTGCATCTCTAACGAGTAGCTT